CACAGGCCCTGCAAGAAGGCAGCACGGGGCCTTCGCAGCTTCCAGGCCGCACACTGCAGTAAGGGCGGCTGGAGGCAGCCTGTGAATTCCTGCATCTGAGGGCTGGATGTCAGTGGGGGGGGGACCCCCTCTGGGGGTGGGGGGAAGGGTAGGATGGCAGTTGTCTTCCTCACACACACCACGTGTCCCCCCCACACACGCTCCCAAGCCCAGCCCCACAGACTCACGCTGGCGTGTTGGTTCCCATGGCAACCAGGCCTGCGAGGAAGACCACGGTACCCACGGCCGCAGCAGGGAGCAGCCAGGCTGTGTAGAAGCCTGCAGAGGGGACGGGCAGGTGAGACCAGCCCCTGGAGGAGGGCGACACCGGGCACAGGAGACCCCCTCCCTCCCCTCTCCATCAAGGGTGGGGCACCAAGACTCCTGGGTTCTACCCCTGGGGCTGATGCCCCGTGTGGCTTGGGGCAAGTCCCTCCCTCGTCCGTGCCTCAGTTTCCTTAGCTGTAAAATGCGGACAATGATCCCGCCCCACCTGGCAGGCTGGGGGCAGGACTAAGGCACTCGCAGACCTTCCCATGGCACCTCACTCGCCCTCTTCCACCCCACGCCCGCCCACCTCCCTGTGAAGCAGGAGCACGGGGCACCAGGGCAGCATCCACATGGCACTGCTGGCACTTAGCGGCAGCACCAAGGGAAAGAACCAGGAGACCTGCCCACGTGGTCCTGCCCCACGGCCCTTTCCGTACCAGGCAGGGTGCTGGGAGTCTGCCTCTGCCAGCCAGGACACGGAGAGCCCTGGGCGGGGCCACCAGGCAGCACAGGCTGGGGGAGCCCCTGGGGCTCCGTGTGTCCAGCAGGGTCCAGGAAGAATCCCCTGGATCCTCATCCCAGCCCCAAGCTGGCCCCCGGGACATTGCACCGGGGGTGCCAGGATATGGTTGGGCAGAGGCGGACAGAAGGGAGGAGGTGGGCTCTCACCCAGCCAGGCGAAGTAGATGGCAATCTTCTCCCCAAAGTACTGGCGGATGTGATCCAGTGGCTGGTACCGGTACCAGCAGCCCCACTGGGCCCAGAAGCGGTAGAGGACTTGGCGAGGGTTTAGGGCTTCATCGGGGACCTCAGACTCAGGCGTCTCGAAGGGGCCCTGGGTCAAGGCAACAGAGAGGGAGACGGGTCGGCCACCTGCACAGCAAGGGGCGACCGCGGATGGGGCAGGGTCTCTGCGGTGCCCAGGGGCAGGGCTGCCAACGGCTGTCTGGGACCCCCGCCTAGTGCCAGCTGAATGGCTGCTGTGACCAACCAGGACCTGCAGAGCCAGCAGCTGCCCCCCAGTACCCCCCATATACCAGCTCCGGAGGGACGTTTCTCTCCCAGGCCCCCCATATCCCAGTTCCGGAGAGATGTCTCTCTCCCAGGCCCCCCCCCATCCCAGCTCCAGAGGAACGTCTCTCTCCCAGGCCCCCCCATCCCAGCTCCAGAGGGACGTCTCTCTCCCAGGCCCCCCCATATCCCAGCTCCGGAGAGATGTCTCTCTCCCAGGTCCTCCCCCCATCCCAGCTCCGGAGGGACATCTCTCTCCCAGGCCCCCCTGCCCCATCCCAGCTCCGGAGGGACAGCCCACCCGACGGCCCCTACCTCGTGCAGCGGGAAGGCAGCGGCGTACACACGCTCGTTCAACAGCCGGTTGATCCCGATCTCGGCGCGTTTCCGCTTCCCGTAGATGGTGCGAGCCAGGATCTCATAGACCTGCCGACCCGAGGGGTGCGGCGCCGTCAGCAAAGTCCACCCTCGCCGGGGTTCGCGCGGAGCAGGAACCCAGCAAGCCCCGGCTGGGCGCAGCCCTGTGGAGCTCACACCCCTGGACCTTGCACCAGAGCCTTGGGACACTAACGGGAGCCTTTGCATTGACCTATCTGGCCCAGCCCCCAGGGCAGGAGCTGCCCGTGGCTCTGATGCCCCCACATTCCCCTTGGCCCGTGCTAGATGCAGGGCAGAGGGAGCCTTCCTGACCCTTCCCCAGGCAATCAGCCGTGCCCTGGAGCCTGAGATTGGATTCGAACACACATCGCTGGTTCTAGCGTTTCCCACCAGCTGTGGGGCCCGCGGAGGCTGAAGCACAGAGCTGGGCCCGAAGCCATGAAGGGGGAATCTGAGTTGGGGTTTCCACACAGGGAGGCTGGATCTGGGGGGTTAAATCAGCCCATTAGAGAGCTGGGGGATTTCGATCTGGCCTCCCGCCACGTGATGGGTCCGTGGAGCTGCCTCTAGGGCAACGGGGTTAATTATGGACCCGGGCAGAGCATGGCTCGGGCAGAGCAGTGCTGGGAGGGGGCCAGGCCCCTGAGGTCCCCAGGTTCCCCCCACCCTACTTACGATGCGATGTCTCTGCGTGTTGCTGAAGTAGGAGTCCCGGGAGTCGCTGCCCAGGAACCTGTGGGGGATAAACAACAAACAGACCCGCTGCGGTCGGGCCAGGGGAGGGGAGAGCAAGGACGGTGCTGCCTGGCGGGCTTGGTCCCTGGGCCTGGGGTCCCCGCCGCCAAGGCCTGCCAGGCGTCCGGTTTTCGACGGGAACGTCCAGTTGAAAAGGGAAACTGGCAGCGTCCGGTCAGCACAGCTGACTGGGCACTCAAAGTCCAGTTACCTGCAGTAACCGGCCTCTGCCACTGGGGGGTGGGAAGAGCAGCAGCTGCTGCTGGAGCCTGGAGGAGCGAGAACTGGCTGCTCCCAGACCAGGCTCCAAAGCAGGTACCACCAGCGCCGTCCGGGGTGGGGGGGTGTTAACCTCTCTGCCCCACACACCCCACTGTGCCCCCATTTCCGCAGCCCTTCACCCCAGGGACCCCCTCCCCGCCCCACTGTGCCCCCATTTCCCTACTCCAGCCCCTTGCCCTGGGGACTGACCCCTGCCGTGCCCCGATTTCCCCAGCCCCTCACTCCAGGGACCCCCCTCCCTGCTCCACTGTGCCCCCATTTCCCCAGCCCTTCACCCCAGGGACCCCCTCCCCGCCCCACTGTGCCCCCATTTCCCTACTCCAGCCCCTTGCCCTGGGGACTGACCCCTGCTGTGCCCCCCTGTGCCCCCATTTCCCTACTCCAACCCCTTGCCCTGGGGACTGACCCCTGCTGTGCCCCCCTGTGCCTCCATTTCCCCAACCCCTCACTCCAGGGACCCCCCTCCCCGCTCCGCTGTGCCCCGATTGGGCTGGCTCCGCCTCAGCTCCTCCCAGCCCGGCTCTGCAGACAGCAGTTGAGTCCCAGGGGATGGGGAAGCGAGCAATGGGGGCAGGGGTGGAGAGCGAGTGACGGGGGGGGGCACACTACGGGGGGGGGGGGCTCAAAGGAAGAGGTGGGGCAGGGGCAGGGCCTCGGGGCAGGGGTGTTCGGTTTTCAGGGATTAGAAATTAGCAACGCCTCCAGCAGCGCCAGGGCCGAGCTGGGAGCCATGAACTCAGGGGGCCCTGCGAGGTGTTGGCCTTGCTCCAGCGCCCTCGAGAGGGTCACGTGGCAACGCCCGGTCTCATCCGTGCAGGGGTTTATTCTAGGCCCGTCACTGGGTATCTCAGCATGTTCCCGAGGGCGGGAGGTGCCATGAGTAGCCGGAAGGGTGGCCCAGGGGTCAGGGCAGCAGCCTGGGACTCGGGAGGCCTGGGTTCAAATCCCTGCTCTGCCACAGACTCCCTGTGTGATCCTGGGCATGTCCCTCAGTGTCTCTGGGCTCCTGGCCCGACAGGGCTGCCAACTCCGGCCAGGCTCCCAGGGGACGAGGCTGAACCCAGTCAAGACAGGGAACTGCTCAGATACTGTGGTAATGGGCCCGGGGCCAAGAACCTGTGAGTCACCCAGCCCCCGATGGGACAGTCCGCTCCTGACCCTCCCAGGTAGCCCGTAGGGTGACACACAGCAGGGAAAGGAACCTCAAGGGGAGCAGCTGGGCATGAGACGGCAGGACCAGGCCAGCACGTGCTGAGTGGTGGGGAAGCGGCGGCACGGGGCAGCCGCTGCCTCTGACAGCCCTTCCAGTCGCCTTCGCGAGTGGCAGCGTCAGCTGGTTAAAAGCCTCTCTGGCGGCTTCCCTCCACAACCAGCCCAGGAGGGGAGAGCTGGAGTTATTTCCCGGGCATGCTTCCCCCCCCCCCCCCCCCGCATTGAAATTCAGGCTGGGATCTGCCCACCCCCTGGGTTACTTGACTCCAAACCCAACTGCATCAAGGGCTGGAAAATCTCTTCCACTGAGATGGGCACCAGAGATGGATTGTTCTCGCCATCCCACTGCGGCACGACAGACAGTCAGCGCTCGGGTCAGGGCTCAGGTGCATCAGCAGAGCTGGGGGGCAGCACCGGGGGTGGGGCCGATGGGCAGGACAGAGCCCATGTGGCTCGGCACATAACTATACAATGGTATCGGTCTGGCACAGGGGGGCTGCGGGTCGGGATTGAGGGGCACCGGCAGAGCAGTTGTGGAGGGAGCTATCGATTGTATGAACACCACATTTACCCACCAGCAGGTGCCTGGCGAGTTACCCGCACCGCATTGCTGGACAGGAACTCGCGGGCACCGGGGGGTGTTCCGGCTGCCCCCTCCCCTCCCCCGCCCAGACTCACTTGTCCAGCTTGGACCTGCGGAAGGCGCAGGTGTAATAGTCGGCGGGCTTGTTGGGGACGTGCTGCTGCAGGGCGTTGGGGATGCAGAGCCACTGCAGGACCTCGGCGGAGCTGTTCCGGTCCGGGTTGGGCTGGGCCTGCGGTCGGCAGAGAGAGCGTCAGGGCTGGGGGCGGTCAGGGGAACCTCCCAGACCGACAGTCGCCTCCGGGCGGAGACGGGGCCAGTCCCCCCACTACTTCCTACACACAGGGGGGCCTAGCAGAGCTAGGGGGGCTGGGCTAGCAGGGGGCTGCGGGTCAGGGTTGAGGGGCGCTGGCAGAGCTGGGGGGAGCCCAGAGCTGGGATAGCAGGGGGCTGCGGGTTGGCATTGAGGGGGGCTGGCAGAGCTGGGTGGGAGGCACCCTCCCCCAGCAAAGGGCAATGGGGGGGCTGGTGGGAGAGACCCCGCCCCACCGGGGCACACAGACCTGCAGGGGTGCTCGCATGCACAGCTCCTCGGCGTAGTACACCAGCACGTCCCACGGGGCGCTCAGCTTCAGGTAGTGGATGGTCTTCCGCTCGCTCAGCGTCTCCTCCTGGGGGGGGAAGCAGGAGGGGACTGAACACGGAGCCCCCGAGGGGCAGAGCTGCCATGTGCCAGCGTCCAGGGGCAGCTCCAGGCCAGGGCCTATAGGGCAGGGATGGGACACACAGCCCTGGGGGCAGGCAGGGGACAGCCGCCTTCTCCCTGACTGCTGCGTCCTGGGGCCAGCAAGGCCTCGAGATCCTCCCAATGCACCGTCACCCCAATCAGCCGCAGCCAGGCCTGGCTGGAGCCGGGAGGGACGTGGTGGGGGGTCTGGGGGGGATGGGATGCAGCAGGGACCTGGACCCAGTGGGGGAGGGATGGAGTGGGGGGCTGGGGCTCGGAGGGGGGGACACTGCGGGGGATCAGGCCTGGAGAGGGGAGGGACATGCCAGGGGCCTTGAGTTGCCAGGCGGAACGCCCAGCCACAAAGGGACCCTGGTGACTCCAATCAGCGGCGCAGCAGGGGCCCGGGGCTAAGGCAGGCTCCCTGCCTGCCCAGAATACACACGGCCGCCAGGTCCCTGCGGCTCCTAGGCGCATGGGCGGCCAGGGAGGCTCCGCGTGCTGTCCCCGCCCCTAGTGCTGGCTCTGCAGCTCCCATTGGCTGGGAACCACGATGAACCCTGCAGCCCCCTCCCGCACCCAAACTCCCTCCCACAGCCCGCACCCCAACCCCCTGCCCCAGCCCAGAGCCCCCTCCTGCACCCCAAACCCCTCATCCCCAGCCCAAAGCCTGCACCCCCAGCCAGAGTCCTCAACTCCCCCCCCCCGCACCCCAATCCCCTGCCCCAGCCCGGTGAAAGTGAATGATGGAGGGAGGGGGGATGGAGAGAGGGGGCGGGGCCTTGGAGAAGGGGTGGGGCATGGGTGGGGCCTCGGAGAAGGGGCAAGGATGTTGGGTTTTGTGTGATTAGAAAGTTGGCAACCCGACGTGGCAGGGACCTGGGGGGTGGGGGAGGGACATGGAAGGGGCCTGGGGGGAGGGACATGGTGGGGACCTGGGGCCCAGGGCCCAGGAGGGAGGAGGGATGCAGCGGGACCAGAGGGGGGAGGCACATGGCAGGGGCCCACGGTATAAGTCTCTCCTCTCACCTTCTCCATCAGCAGCCCAGCATTTCTCAGGTTGTTGAGGAACTTCCTCTTCCAGTGCTCGTGGTGCCCGCGTGGCCGGTCGTCTCTGGCCTCAGGGGCTGCCTCCCTGCTGCCCTCGTGGGAAGCCAGCTTCCCCCTCCTCTTCTTCGGGGGGCGGCTCTTCTCCTCCCAGACCAGCACAAAGTCTGCGGGGGCAAAGGGGAGGGGGCTGCGGTCCGGCCCTGCAGTGGTCCAGGGGCTGGGAGCCTCTCGCAGGGCCAGGGAGCAGCAGAGAAACTCACCGGGATAATAAAGCACCCAGACCACGCACAGGGAGACGGAGGGACAGCAGCCCTAGGGCCCCTAGAGTGTGGGTGGGGGGCCACACACGCCACCACCGCCCCCTGCTGGAGGGAACATCAGCCCCGCTCTGGCACATGCAGCCCACCAGCTGGGGCGCCTCACCGCTAGCCTCAGCGGAGATTCCCCGGGCTCTGCAGCAGGACGCCCGCAGGCTGTGTGAGCTGGCGAACATGAAGCCCCTGGAGCCGCAGCCCACAGGTGTGAGCAGGGCACTGGGGAGGGAGGGAGCATCATTAACGGAGCCGAGCAAGGGGCTTTGGGTCATTTCGTGACTGCTCTGGACAATGTCCGTTAGCCAATGGAACCCTCTGCCACATGATGCTGCCGAGGAAAAGAGATTTAGGGAGCATATGTTCGCAGAGCAAGGAGGGTCATGGGGCTGGGATGCAGGAGATGGAGGGTCACTTCTTGGCTCCGCTACTGACCCCCTGGGTGTCCTTGGGAGAGTCACTTGCTCTTTGTGCCTCTGTCTGGGGCAACGAGCATCTCTGTGCCCAGCCCCCAGAACTGCCCGGGAGGCCCATTGGCAGTTGGCACAATGCAAAAGAGCTCCAAGGCTGCTCTAGGGCAGATTGCAGAGGGCAATGACGTAGGATGGCTTAGAGACACCCGGGTCCCTGTCCTGGGCTGCACCGGGCCCGGCTCACACAGCCAGAGAGGGCCCTGCGTGGGTCCATGCCTGCGGGGCTATTCGGAGAGCCTGGGCTGGCAGCGAGCGCTCCTCCCAGACAGGGGGCCCGGGGAGCTGCCGAGGTACAGGCCAGGGCAAGGGGGCGCTCACCGATCTTGGTTTGCCCATCTCGGAAGTAGTTGCCCCTGAGGTTGGGGCTGTAGCCTTCGTCACCGTACACGTCGACGGGATCGTCCTCTTCCTCTTCATCCTGCGGCCAGGAAACAAACGAGACAGAGGGGCAGGGGAGGCGTGATGGGATCAGAGAAGAACCATGCGGCTCCCGCACCCCGGGCCAGCCTCGGCCCCGTGCCCAAGCTCAGATTCGTTTTGTCCGTGTGGGGGAGCTGGGGAAGGTTTCAGTGCTCAGGAAACTGAGAAGAGGAACCTAGAGCCAGATGGGCTGCTTCACCCCACGGCCCTGCCGGTGCCCCTCAGTCCCAACCCGCAGCCCCCCACTATCCCAGCCCTGGGCTCACACACACACAGCCCTGCTGGTGCCCCTCAATCCTGACCTGCAGTCCCCCGCTATTCCAGCCCTGGGCTCCCCCACAGCCCTGCCGGTGCCCCTCAGCCCCGACCCGCAGCCCCCCGCTACCCCAGCCCTGGGCTCCCCCCCCCCCCCCAGCCCTGCTGGTGCCCCTCAGTCCTGACCTGCAGCCCCCAGCTATCCCAGCCCCCGACTCCCCGCGGCCACGGTTCTGCGGATGTGCTACAGAACACCAGTTATCCTGAAGGCCAAACCTTCGCCTCCCTTACCGCTCTGGGCCTGTTCCGAGCCCCCCCCCCCGTCCCCCCCGACTCCATTAGCTCCAGGAGAAACCAGACCCAGAACGAGCTGCAAGGACCCCCCAGCTCTCTCCTCCTCTAACCCCCACTCCTGCCCGTTAAGCCAGGCCAGCGGCTGAAACGGCCCCAGTAACTGAGCGCGGGAGCTTTGCACAGGCCTCGCCCAGAGCAGCAGCAGACTCGGCCTAGACTCAGAGCCGCGGTTCTTGGCCTATTAACCGTTGTGGGCTGCAGCCACCCAACACAGACACGACCTGTACGCCCTGAGGATGGGACCCGGGCTGCAGCTGGTGCTGATGGGGCTGAGAACCGCTGGCCTAGAGAGGGGCCCGAGCTGGGACTAGAAACCCACCTGCACCAGGCCAGCGGCCGGGCTGGGTCTCTGCGTCTGGAACGACGGAGGGGAAGGGGAGGGTTGGATTACGGGGGGTTGGGCAGCTCCCCTCTGCCCCCCGAACTCCTGACAGGATTCTCTCATGAAGGCGGGTCCCAGAGGTCGGGGACATGGGAAGAGCCACAGTTTGGGAAAGGGACGAACTCCCTCCACCCCACCCCCTAGAACTCAGCACCACCAAGGGCGTCGCCCCTGGAAAGGGGGACTTGGGGGGACGACGGGAGGGCTGGAATAGAACCCGCTGGAAAAGCAGGGAGGATGGGACTGATGCCAGGGTGGCAGATGTCCCGGGGAAGCCCGTCTGGTAGCCTGGGGGCTGCCCCCACAGCTGGCTCAGCTGCTGCACTGCAGTGTGGGGGGAGGCCGGCGGCGTGGGAGTCCCGGCCGGGCGAGGCTGGAACACGGGCTGGGCCGTTTCGCTGCCCTCCAGATGGGCACTGCGGGGCGTGAGCGGATTCTGTTGGAGCTCCCAGTCTTTAGCTGGAGCAGAGGCTCCTTGGGGCCAGGGGTGCCCTGAGCCAGGGAGGACAGAGGGATCCCCGCTCCAGCCCCGCACACGCCTGTCTGTCTGTCTGTCCATCCGCTGTGAAAAGAGTAGAGTCTGCAAACTGAATGTGCACTGGGGGGCTCACCGCTCCCAGCTCAGACCCCGGGCCCACAGAGGCCTTTGGGGACAAGGGGGGAGCTGGCAATGCCCCCCCACATCCTGGGCTGGGGGCCCTCGTGGGAATCAGAGCAAGCAGCGATCTAGAGGGTCTCTCGTCTATTGCACGCACCGCTCAGGGTGACCCGTCGGCTCTAGTGACCGCAAGGCAGCAATCCTGCATGGGCCACAAGTGAAATGAGTTTGTCGGTCTCAGCTTAGTCTTTCGCCAGGGTTGGGCTCCGGCCAGGAAACGATAGACGCTTTGGCCAGAGGCGCCTGGCACTGGGAGAGCTCGGGGTGGGTGGGGTGGGGCGGGGCTGCAGACTGGGACGGCGGGATGTTGGCAGAGCGGTGGGTTGGGGGCACAGAGCCGGAGTAGCAGGGGATTTTCACAAAGCAAATCCACCCGGTTTTCTCCACACCTGACCGTGTTCCGCCGGGGGGCGTGGGGGCTGGGCTGCGTGGGCATCGGATACCAGGTGTTTTTCTCACGAGCGCAGGCAAGATTTTTTAAAACACGGACGAAACCAACTGCACTGCCCACCTCTCCGTGCCGTGGAACACCTGAGAATACCCCTCCCCCAATCACAACCAGCCCCCTAGCCTGGCAAACACCCCCAATCGCCACCACTAGCCACGCTGCCAGGGCAAGGCCGGGGTGGCTGAGCTCCAGGAACGCCCGGGCCCAATTCTGCTCTCCCGCCCTTGACGTCTGCGGCATTCGCTGGGCCTCAGGAAGAGCAGACCCCAGACCCCTCTCTCTGCAGCAGCCCGGCCGGCCCCTGGTAGCTGCTCCCCCCGTGTGCCCCCTCGTACTCACGAAGCCGGCGTAGGGCACCCCGTTGTAGACGGTGCCGGAGGAGCCGCTGGACAGGCGGGAGCGGCTCTTGTCCAGGGCGATGAGCAGGCTGGTGTCCTGAGCGCCTGCCTCCGACCCCTTCTTCCGGATCATGGTGCTGAGTCTGCGATGCCAACCTCAGGACCCTGCTGCCATGGCCCCCCGGGGGACCAGAGCGATAGGACCCAGCAGCGATTGCTACCCCTAAAGGGGAGCCATCGGGGGCCTGGGCTCCAGCCCCAGGGCTGCACTGAGCAGCGTGGGGGGGCCGTGCGGACTCTACTCCAGGAGCCCCTGTTCAAAGCATCCCTGCGCCTGGAGGTGGGTGAGAGGTGATGGCAGCATCGTAATTCCTAGTGAACCAGCAGCTGCGATGGGATCCCCCCCCCTCCGCCCTCTGTGCACGCCCCCGCGACGGAGCTGCCAGGGGAACTGGGTCCAGCAGCAGCCTGGCGGTAGCTGGTAATTATAGAGCTCCAATCAGTGCAGGATGTGGGCGCTGCTGCTGGAGGCGGAGACTGGAGTCCTGGGAGATGTGTGCAGGAGAGAGCGTAGATGGATGCAGCTTTTCCATGCCAGGCAGAGAGCAGCGGATGCAGACCTGCTCCGGTGTGGGGCTGAGGTGTCTCTGGGCCCCACATGACACAGCGGGTCAATGGCAGTGAATTGCACGGCAGGGCGGGAAGGGAATTACACAGCCAAAGGATTAAGGGCTTGTCCCCCTTTTACGTGTGGGAGGCAGCAGCACCTCGTGGTTAGAGCTGCGCTCAACTACCTGGTGCCACAACAGCACCAGCTTGGAACAGCGTCGTCCCCCCCGTCCGCACAGGATCCCAAAGCGCTGCACACGCTTGATGAATCAAGCCGCACAACCCCTCTCCCCGGGAGGCAGAATCCTCCCCGCTTCACAGATGGGGAAACCGAGGCACAGAGCGGGCACCCGCATTCATGGCAGGAATTGAACTCTGACCTCCTGATTCCCAGGCCAGTGCTCTAATTGCACGGCTACATGTCTCTCGCTCTAGCCGGGGGCTGGTTACTAGCCCGAAAGGCCACTAAGCTACAAGCCCAGGGGAAGCCAAAAATAAGATTCCCCTCTCCCCCACAGCAAGGGAATGAATTTTAACCCCCCAGTTCACTTTGCTGCGTTTCTGCCCTTTCTTGACGGTTTTGGCCATTTTGTGCAAGGAAAAGAGATGCGTCGGATTCGGTTTCGGCCGTAGCCACGTCACTGGTGCTTCCAGGCTCTCCTGCGGCAGGTCAGAGCCGCCGTCCGTGAGCCGGTGTTTTAGAAACGCAGCCTCCATCGGAATCCCGGCCCATGCGCCTTGGGGCTCAGCAGCCGTAATCCTCAGGCCCTTACAAAGCTTGGGCCCAGCCCGGTCAGACGGCAGCGCGGAATGGGGCTCTCTGCAGAGGATGCTATTAGTGGAATGACGTCAGTTACCGTTCTTGCGAGCATCTCTGGCCTCTCAAGTCTGTGCAAAGTCCTAGTCCCCAGTGGAAAGAGACATTAAATATTAAAGACGCCTCCATGAAAAACAGAGAGAGAGAGAGAGAAGCCTCTGAAACCGAGCAGAAGCAGCCACTTCTAAACCCAGGGAGGGGAAGCAGAGGAATTTTAGCCTCCCAACAGTGGATGAATGAATCTATTCCTCTTCCCGCATTCTCAGTCCCCTGTGCCGACGCTCCCCTGCACCTTGAGGAGAAGACATGAACCAGGGTTCGCTTCTGGGCCCTGGCACCATGCGCGAGGCTTGGCACCCGGCCCGGGCTCTCCTCGACAGCAAAGGAGCTGACGTGCCCACGTGACGGGGAGGCAATGGAAGGCTCCGGGGCGGCACACGGCCGGGAGACGCAGAGATCTGCAGCGACCCGCTGGCTGCGAGCGACCCAGGCTGACGATCTCAGTTTGGTGGCCAGGTTGAGCTGGCTTTGGGCCCAACTGAAGAATGAGATGGCCGCGCTCGGGCCGCACCCCGCAGTGTCTGGATAAAAGGCTCCTCCACATGGTCTGGCTTGGCCTCAGGAGCAGGCCGAGATTGAGGGGCTGTGCGTGGGGATCCCGGGCTGGACCAGCTGGTGGGGCTCTGGGTTGTGATTCAGGTGCATTGGCACAGCTGGCGAGGGGTCCAGGACTGGAAGAGCAGGGGGGGGTCAGGACTGGCACGGCAGCGGGGGTGGCTGCAGGTTGGGTGCATCGGCAGTGTCTGGGCTCCATCAGCCAAAGGCGAGGGGCAGGGCTCTGATTTTGATCGCTGTGATCACAGCCAGAGCACAAAGGTCCCAGTCAAAGCCATGGCAGCTCTGAGCCAGCTGTTCCTGCGCACGTCGCGTCTCCAGGGCTGCAGGTCTCGGTGGGATCGCACACAGCCGGCTAACTGGGGACACATCCTGCGTCTCTGTCCAACACCCGACAGATCTGTCACCCGTATTCATCACTGCTGCTTCCCTGGCTGCCGAGATACGGTACCAGTGAACAACCTACCCCCCCAAGCTGCCACCTCCTGCTACTCTGCTCCCCACTGATGCCACGCAGCGGGCAAAGCACCTGTGATGCATGCCCAGCTCCTCCCCCTGGGAATGATCCCTGGGGTGCCCCAACACCTGGGAAGGATCCGCAGGAGTGGTGGGTGGGCCAAGCTGGCAGGCAGGTGCCAGCACATGGGCAGGGTCCAAATTCAACTCCGGAGCGTCCCAGCCTGGCAGAGGCCACCAAGGCTGGAGGAAAGGCCCCTGGGCTGGAGGGAGGGTGGCCCAGTGCCAGTCCAGCTTCCCCTCTATTGAGACTGGGGGCAGAGGAAGCATGGCTGCAAGGGAAAGCGCTGCAGAGCCAGGCCTGACTAGGGAGGGACAGAGTAATGGGGAGGGATGGATCCGGAGCGTGGCGGATCCGGAGCGTGGGTTCAGTTCGGATCCTGCTGCCCACGGATCAGCCCCTCCAGTGCTCAGAGAAAGCCCTTTACACACGATTGGCCAGAGCCGCCCGCCCCCCTGGGAAGCACAGAGCATCAGCCCCTGTTCACAGATGGGGAAACTGAGGCACAGAGCGGGGAAGTGGCTCGCCCACGTTCAGACAGCAAGTCAGTGGCAGAGCTGGGAACAGAACCAGGAGCCCCCGGCTCCCTGTCTCACTACAAAGCCAGCCTGGCCCCACGTGTCTCGTCCAAATCTCTCCAGTGTGCTCCGTGGGCTGGAAATCCTCCTCCAAGAGTCTCTCTTGAGGAATGGGGGCCCAGGGGGCTGCTACGACCAGCGCTGGCCACAACCTGGCAGGACAGAGGGATCTGAGAAAACAGGAGTCTGGGGATGGTAGCGAACATCCAGGGCCTTGCTGTTTCTGTTAGCAGGAGAAATGGACGATATGGGTCAGGTATTGCTTTGGTGAAATCCTGTTTATTTACACAGTCCTGCTCCCTTGGACACAGGCAGGACCTTTGCTCGGAAATCCCCAAGTCTGAGCCCTCAATCGGTTCTGTGCTCAAGGAGCGCTGTCTCTCTGCTCCTTCTCCAGGCCACACTCAGGACTGCTTCCCTTACTGTCTGCCGGATTTCTCACCTTACTCGTGCAAACAGCTTGCCAAGCAATGCCCCAGCAACTGCGTTCTTACTAGGCTCAGGGAAGCCCCTCAGATCACATGGCTTAACCCTGCTCAGGCTTTGCCACGCAGACCAGTGCCTTGGACAGTAGCCTCCTATTACTTCTAACTATCACTCCATAACAGGGCATTTAATTGCTCCTCCTATTTTGCCTGAGAGAAGGGTATTTAGTGCACACATCGGCTTTAACCAGGCTTGTGATGGTCTTTAGATCAAAGACCTGCTTGATGGTGGCCACTGATTTGAGTGCTCCCAACCTTTAGAGAGAGGTTGGCTTGAGCTTGGCTCCAACTCCCAGCAAAGACTCCTGGGTCGAGGGATCTTCCTTGTCTGCCTCTCATCATGGTCCCAGAAAACCAGGACACAATGAAGGTCTCGGCCTCCATTCTCCGCTCTCCATGCTGTGACAGGCCCCAGCCCGTCTCCGGTACAGGACGGCGTAGATCTCCAGGCCGGTGGAGACACGCAGAGAAAGATGCTCATGTTTCTCTCTTAGATAGAGGCCCTGGGCCTGCACTGATTCTCTCCTGCCAGCTGCTGTGGGGAGTGGAGGGCTGGCGGGGAGGGTGGAGGGGCAGGGGGCGTTACTGCCTGTGCAGTTTCCATAGGGTGCGTCTGTCTCTGTGGATCCTAGCGCAGCGCTGCACGCCAAGGGGCTGCGGCTGTGACCCCAGAGTACAGAGGTGGGGCTGAGGGGCAGACGTCAGAGCAAGGTCATTCTGGGGCTTTCCCCATCCCCTCAAACTGGCCTGTTCAACCTGCCTCCCCACTCCTCTGCTCTGCCTCATCCACCCTGAGTGGAGCGCCCCCTTTTCCCCCACAGCCAAGCTGAAGGAACAAGAGGGGGAATCAAACCCCCTAGTCCAAGGAGAGGGAAGATGGCCTAGTGGTAAGTGCTCAATTTCCTGTGAGACTTAATCTCCCTGGGCCCATCTGTACAATTAGGACCATTCTGTAGGTCCTTAGCAGCCCCCCAGCACCGGAGCATCTGAGCCCCCACAACCTTAACTGGATATCACACACATACCCATGTGGCAGGGCAGGGCTGTTATCCCCACTATACAGACGGGGAGCTGAGGCCCAGGAAAGCTAAGGGCAGAGCCACAAAGGGATTCCAAAGGGAGTTAGGCACCTAAATACCTTTGAGGGTCAGGGCCGAAGTGATTTGCCTGAAGTCCTACAGAGCAGGGAATTGAACGCTTGGCCACATCACTTCACTGCTCCATGCCTCAGTTTCCCCTCCCACTCTTTGTCTGTCTTGTCTATTTAGCCTGTAAGCTCCTTGGGGCAGGGACTGTCTCACCATGTGTCCGTGCAGCGCCCTGCACACGGGAGACCTGGGTTCAATGGGGCCCTCCAAGGGATATTAAAATAAAAACCCCGGGGACCCATGCAGCGGATTCAGTAGATCTAAGCTAAGTGGCTTTTCCCCTCACTCCCTGTAGACGAGACCGTCTAGACAGGACTCCGATGGGTTGGTTGTCAAGCTCACTTCACCTCCTAAAATCCTCTTT